GTTTGTTCAAGCTCAGAGTTTTGCTAAAGTGGTCTTTGGTCAAGTGGTCTTCTTTAAAATCCTCATTTTGATTCAAGGTTTTGTTTGTGGCAAATTAAAATTCTCTGTAGCATGCCTGATTTGAGGCTGTGTACCCATACCCACACTGCATAGAATATATGTTGAGACACATAGATAGAAATTGTCTATAGACTAAAGAGGAATGTGATAAATATTAAAACATGAGTTATGTGATCTTATTTCCAAAAGAAGAGCTTAAATTACAGCTTCCCTCAGCCACCTGACCTACATTTTGCCCCACGAAATGTTGACTTTCTCGATTTTTCAATGGTTAAAACTTTTGTTTTAGGAATAGAAAATAAAATATGGGACATAAAACTGTTACAGCATAAAAATAATAGACATTCATGCTTGGCAGTCAATTAAATTTGGGTCCTTGAGTACATTTCTAATTAACTGCCATTAACAATTGTTTTGTTTTTGCCCTGTTAATTTTACATACCCCACTGATGCGCAAAGCTGTGTTTCCCCCAAATGATCTATCTCTAACACATCACTAATGATTCAGGCCTTCCTTTCTTTGCCAATTTGCTGACGTAAACAATAGAGAAATGCAATTAGGCAAGCCCTTCTCAGAGTTCCTAGATGTGACTGCCTTTCTCTGATTTTGTAGGCCACCCCCAGCCCCCACAATTCCCCAAAGGAAAGCAGTAAACCACACTGAATCCTGGAGTGATGAGCTTTCTCTAGACCCCCACAGTCATACTCTACTGCTAGGGCAGATGAAGAGTGTCTCAGAAATGGGCCATCAAACTGCCATTGAGAATGGTAGGGAAGATTATTTTCTATTTAACTTCTAAAGCATGTAATTATTTTAGACTCCAGTTCTGACCTACTTGAGAGTTTTGGAAGCAGTTCCTTGAGAGTCTATGTAGGTCTAGTAGGGTTTTCTTAGAAAACCCACCATTTTAACTGAGAAAGTAATAAAGAATACTGTACTCCCTCAACCTTTCATGAGTTGAGAATCCAACATTTTTTGCATCTTGAAGGGCCTCATTGGCAGAAGATCAAAGAAGGCAAGTAAGGTTTTAGAGCTAACTGGGCAGAGAATGTGAATGCCTTCATTTGTACAGGCTGGACAAAGGCTGACAAAGGTGGTCCAGGTTGGCACCGAAGAGAATGTGAGTTGACACCATGGGTGGAGGAGCTGCTGTACTTTTTTTCTTACTGGGTCATTATAATCACAGAGTCAGTTTTGTATCAGAGTTTGTTCTTACATATAAGGCTTTCTACTTTCTTAAGTTGAAGTTTTCTGTTATTAATAATTTGGCACTGATCCTCAGAGTTAATGGTCAAATTGCTTTATAATTTATAAGAAACTGAATGGAAATAGCATTGTGCAACAACTGGAAAATTATTTCAAGCTTTTTTGAAGGAAGAAAATGTAATTTAAAGTGATTTTATGACTTAACTCATTCATAGCTGTGTGTCCTAGGAAAGGGGAAGCACAGCGGTGACCATTTCCAGAAGGGGAAATGGAAGTGCAGATTAAATAACTGGCCAAGGTCACGCAGAAGTCAGGGACTATGCCAAGAATAGAACCCATTTCCTTGACTCCCAGGTCTCTGGCCCTGAGACTGCGTAATAGACATTTTGCAGGTATATACATAGATCCTAAACGAATCACTGTAAATGCTAGAGGGAAATGGTGCTCATCTTTCTGTTTTGCACAGGGTTGGTGCCTAATAAATACTTGTGATGAGCAGATGATTGACAATATAGTTAGATTGAATACCAATGGTATACAAAATTTGTTTGTAAGATGTGAACAATATGAACACGATGTAAGTGGAAATTTCTCTCTCTCTATTTTTTTATTTCAGCATATTATGGGGGTACAAATGTTAAGGTTACGTATATTGCCCATGCCTCCCCTCCCCCCTCGAGTCAGAGTTTCAAGCGTGACCATCCCCAAAATGTTGTACATCTCACTCATTCTGTTTGTATATACCTATCCCCTTCTCCCCCCTCCCACCTGCCCGACACTTGATAAATGTTTTTCCTATATGTCCACTTAGGTGTTGATCCATTAATACCAATTTTCTGGTGAGTACATGTGGTGCTTGTTTTTCCATTCTTGAGATACTTCACTTAGTAGAATGGGTTTCAGCTGTATCCAGGAATATACAAGAGGTGCTATATCACCATTGTTTCTTAAAGCTGAATAGTACTCCGTGGTATACATATACCACATTTTATTAATCCACTCGTGTATTGATGGGCACTTGGGTTGTTTCCACAACTTTGCAGTTGTGATTGTGCTGCTATAAACATTTGAGTGCAGGTGTCTTTTTCATAAAGTGACTTTTGATCTTTTGGGTAGATGCCCATCTCTATATATTTTGACTAATCATCACAGATAGCTTGTAAAGAAAATGAGATTTTCACAAAAAACTCAATGTTACCTGAGATTTTTTTTTTTCCATTAGAGGGGGAATAGCATAGTATGTGTAACAACTATATCTTTAAGGACAGATGAGTATTATTTATAACTCCGAAATTATGATTTGTGATAGGTGGGGAGAGAGAATTAAAGTGGCTTGTGACCTAAAGAACGTGTGCTCTCAAACAGAACTGCAGTAATCAAATGCTGCAGGCCTTGAACCTCCCTACAGACCCAAACACATTCAGCATTTTTGAAACAGACCTTATTTTAAAAAGGAGAAAAGATAACCCTAGGAACAACCAGGTTGATTCTGAACACTATTGGGGGTGGGGGTGACCAGAGAGCATAGAGAGTGTGAGCAAGGACCCCCCTTACCACCTCTCGTTTGTGGGAAATAGACAAAAGAGAGCCCCAGGACCCATTCAGGCTATAAAATTCTCCAGTCAGTTACCTGAGGGTCTCCTTGGTATCCAAGCAAACATGAATAAAAGCGGCCTTTCAACATCTTAGGTCCTTCCTGAGCAAATGATAAGCTGGAGTCCAAACCAACTATGCCAAGACTGCCCTATCCCCACCCTCTCCTGGGTTCCTCAAATCCACCCCTTCCAGTCCCCAGAGAGGGGCCCTTCCCTCCAGTCTAGTCCTGTATTGTGACTTGTTCCTTTACAGACCAACGTCCTTGTCATGGGCAGTCTCATCTACGTGCCGTTTCCTGTGAGACCATACCAACACAGTGGCACAGTTCACCAGGGACTATGAGATCAAGAGTAGCTCATTGCTCCGGATGTTTGGTAGTCCTACTTAGTTCTTTAAAATGCAGGGGGAATGTGAAGTTCTAGAAATCGAGTGTGCCCTGGCCCAGCAGGAGTCAGCTCTCCCACAGGCCCACTCAGCCACACCCCAGCCTCAGCCAACCCGCAGGGCAGAACCACTTCCTCCCATTCCGGGAAACAAATGAATGGGACAGGCCACACAGATTGGGAGGGTTACTTCATTCCCCCACGACACTCTTCTATTTTTTTTTTTTTTTGGTATTTTTTTTTTATTTCGGCATATTATGGGGGTACAGATTTTAAGGTTTCAATAAATGCCCGTTTCCCCCCCTCCGCCCACAAGTCTCAGTCTCCAGCATGACCATCCCCCAGATGGTGCACATCTCGACACTCTTCTATTTATTCTCCCTTTTACTTTTGCCTAACTCTTCTACAGTTCCTTAATTTCTCTTCTTCTGAAAAGCCATATTTTCCTCAGTTCTACTCATTTCCTCCCATACCCACTGAATTTCTATTTTTAAAGCACAACAAAATTATTTTTTACTTTCCCCATTTGTGTTCATTTCTCAGAAATGTTTGGTAAAATTTCTCACTTTTGTGAAACTAGCTCTATAGGAGGCATAAATTTCCTTTCAAGTTCCTTAAAAGTTCTGGGGTCTTATTTAGAGATAGGTACCCCAGGGCTAGCAATTATTACAACCCTGTGGCAGTCCATACCGTTTCCACATGCATTGCCTCATTTGATCCTCACGTTCTCTCTATGAAGTGTGTATCTCTGTCTAATATGAACAGAAGCTGCAAGACACAGACATGCATATGCTTGACGTCCTGTGGATGCTTCCTAGGTTTATGCCTAGCCTAACACGGAGGAGGTTTAGGAATATCTATGTAGAAGTTTCTGCCAGTTGCTGAGGATGAGAAAAGCCCAAAAATACCATTTCATTCAGTGTTGATAACTTATCTTAATGTTATTAATATTCAAAAGAAATATCCTAGTTCTTCTATTACTTACCACTTTCCTTTTTTGTAATGCAGAAAAGTAAAAGGAGGATTCTGCTTTATTTCTTCTTGGCTCATTAGCTATGGGTTTTTCCTATCTCTTTTATTCCTAATATTTTATAAAAACAAATTCTAGGGAAAATCAAAACCACGATATTACTCAGTTAAAACATAGCTCACTTGCATAAAACATTTTACCACTTTTTTTTAAATGGAGGAAGTTTCTAGTTGAACTATCAGTAGTTCTGATAGTTTTAAGATATATTTACATACTTACTAGACTCCAGGAAACTATACAATTTGAGTTAAGTCTAAATCTCTTTCTATATTAACTTAGATACATTAATTAGCTGACCATATTAAGCCAATTAATAATTCTGAGATACTTAAACAAATGATATTCTATTCTCAAAATTAAACTAAAGTCTTGGCTATGTCCATACGTAGATATTCTCTAATCATAGCCTAAAGTTTAAATACCAGGAATTATGCTACATATTTAAGAGCAATGATGTGTATATATTAGTCACCTTTGATGATCATATATAGATACCACTATATGAATATGTTACTACGGTATATAACTCCAAATAAGTACGTGCAATGGAACATCCTTTAAAATTCCTGTCTACAACTGAATCTGAGTTAATCTAAGTGTATAAAAAACATATAAAGACATATTTAAAATTTTTTTTAGTAATTAAAGAGGGCTTCATTTATCTGTAAATTTTAGCTTTATCTCTCTAACAGGGTGAAATAGGGTGGTTCTGTTTGTTTCCTAGAGTACAAAAGTCTCATCTATATTGCTGACATACTTCTAAGTTAAGTGGACTGATTTCACCACCAAGCACCCAATCTGGCCCTGACACAGGTAGGCTACTCAATCAGTACCTGCTCACTAAAAGAATGAGAGCTTCTTATGGTTGTGCACATTTTTGGCAGATAATTTCAAGCAATAACATATGAAAGAAATAAAGCAGCATGGAAACTTAAAGCTTTCATTTATGTCTTGTGAGTAGTAAAGAAACAAATGCCTTTAACAGAGAATAATTCAAATGGTCAACAAACATTCAAGGCAGTACTCTGAGTCTTGAGAGAATTCCAAAAGGAATTAGACATCTTTTCATGCCTTGGCAAGCTTATTCCATAACTCAGAAGAAAGATCCCATACACCACAAAGAAATTGGAAAGAAAGCTAATATTTACAAAGTTTTACTTCAGCTGGTTTCATTCCCCAAACCATATTTTATTAGTATCAAATTTATAACAATATATTCTATCACACATGATTGTAACTCTATACTTCTATCCAAATCTAATAGCTTAAATTATTTAGTTATTTTAGATTTATTTGCATGTTAGCTTAGCACACATATCAAGACACTAAAGGGATTGGTCTGTAAATATTGATATCTATCCCAAATTGACAAAATAATATAAAATTTCAGTAGATCTCACTGTCTTTTGAGTTAAATATCCACAATGGTGGAGAAGGTATTCAAGATTTGTAAGTTCTTTAAATTTCTATTTTTAGAAAATGACATAAAGGAGAAATCAGACATGTGTGGAAATAGCTACTTCTCAGGAATTCCATAATTCACCAGTAACTTTCCACTATGAGAGTACTATGCACTAAACAAAAGATTAAAGCACAGGATGAAGAGTTGGAATTGTGGAAAGAATCTAGAAAAGCAAACAGCCACTTCTATCTATTCATGCTAGAATTATGCCTTGTTTACTTTTTTGTCAACCTAGTTTTGTTTTTTTAAAAATAGCAATCCTCCCAAACACTCTGCAATTGGAATTAAAAGTAATAAAGTATTCTGGCATAATGGTAATTCTTGTGCAGGTTCAATAATATCTTATTGTTGTACGTATCGATTCTATTCCTATTCTTCAAATTAGCTCCCATGAACTATCCTTAGTATCATCCCTCCAGACTATACAAAAAGGAGAAAAAGCAAACAGAGCTCAGTCATCAACAGGATGCAAGGAAATGCTGCCCAGCTAAAAGAGGGTAGGGATATTCATTCAGCAGATACACACTGAGCACCTACTGTGTGCCCGACACTGTGCCTGGTTGTAAAGACACAGAGCTGCTCTCAGTTTGCTCTTAGCTTAGACAGAGACACATGTGCACACTGAGTGATGTAACAATGGTGTGAACAAAGTGCTGTTCACACTGAGGAGGGAGAAATGAGTCTGAATGAGGCAGTCAGAATGGTTCACAGAGAAGGTGACATGAGAGCTAAGGCTTGGGGTTTGATAAAGAAGGACTTCTTATGAGGCACACAATGGGTACAAGTGCATTTCAGAGAGATAGAAGAACATGAGCAAAGCCCCAAAGTAGAAAACATAGTGATCATCGTGTTGGGAAGATCTTGGTTCATAGCCAGTGAATACAAAATGACAAATGGGAAGACCAATGTGACATAGTGGTATATAGCCAAAGTCTAGGATGCTCAAATAGGAAACAAGACACTGGAGTTCCAACCCAAGCTCAAATAATGGCTCATGGGGGACCTTAATTATATTCCCGTGTTCTTAGAACTATAAACTAGAGAGAAAAATGATGAAATTGTTAGCCAATGATAGGGTATATTCAGTAAGGAGGAAGAGTAGGTTGCCTACCTTTTTCCAAGGCAGGGAGAGCCTTTGCCCCAAATATACTGCACATTCCATCTGCAAATTCCCATCTGTATCCATTAAAGAATCTTAATTCCAGGTGTCAACAAGTATTTGAAAATTAGTCAAGAAACTAACTGTCCCTACCTTGCTTTGGAATGATTACGGTTACAGGGGTGCCAGAACCACTTGATTGTAGGTTGAGGGATACCGTAAACGGTACAAGTCAGGATTTGTCTGCTGCCCAGCGGGTAGAGAGTTGGGTCTGGAAATGATGACAGAGCCTTTTCGTAAATCTGGGGTTTCACTGGAAAGGAGATGAAGAATGGGACAGAAGTCAAGAACTGTTTTTTCTCCTGGGCCACACATGAAGAACCACATTCTCATTGGTTTTTATGTCAGGAAAACGAACACAGAAACAAACAACAAGTAAACCCTCATTTTGTCAAGAAAATGCCAACTTTAAAAAATAGTAGAAGTGTTTTGAGAGCTTTAATAATTTGATTCTGTGGTATGTTTGTTGTGATCACAATGATAAAAAATCATATCACCTATGGAAGATAACAAGCAAACATGAGATAGTTATGATGGGAACAGAAGTGATTTCTAAGTAATTATTTAAAATTTCATTTTCTTTAATGTTGTTATACTGACTTCTCAATTTATAAATTTTCATTAATTTGTCCCCTAGCAGAACCAGAAGAAAGTATGAACAGTAAACTTACCATTTACGATGAGAGTGGCAGTGAGGTTTTTAGACACATTTGACTGTTTTATGCCCAGCAAGATTGTATAATCGCCTGCATCCTCTGCAGTTACATCCTTGATAATCAACGAATAGCCATGAACCAAGTAGCGAGCAGATTTCTTAGTGGCAGGTAACCCATCTTTTAACCTGTGGTTAAAAGCATGCTTAGTAAGTCATTTCTCATGGTTTCTCAGATGTCACTTTGATAACACTGTCATTTAAGTTTGTGGGCTCAAGTTTATCAGTTTTGAACCTTTGGTCATAACCATTGATTTTAAAAATTTAGGCACTAACTTTTCAGTAAAGGCAGCTATGATTTTTACACTGGGTAATGCTTTCTATTGATTGGCAAAGAGGAGGAAGTAAAGCTAGGAAAGAAAGAAAAGTGGTGGCTTCATGTACCCACAAGGATGCTGGTGGCCACTGTGACTTAAGTATTAACCCAGAGGCACCAGCTCTGATTCCATCTGAGATGTTTTTCAGAGTTTCCATGAGGCTCCATCAGAGGTACAAGGGCCATTGTAAGTCAGATCAACTAGATCACTTATCCAGATAAAAATAAAAATAGATTTTCCTATTGTGGTCTCATGTGGAGTTCTTATTAGTTACATAAATGGTCACACCAGTTGTCCCTTTCATAAACTATAGTGAAATCAAGATGATCAAGATTTTTCCTCTGAGGAACAACAGTTAAGGCACAAAACAAAACAGAAAGTAATAACTTAAAGAAATTTACCAAAAAAAAAAAAAAAAAGCCAGAAACCAAAAATTCCATCAGTGCCTTGGTCTGATTCAATACTGAGATCAGGCCTGGATGCTTGACCTGGCCCTGCTTCCCCACCTCCTGCCACTCAGGTGACTAACCTGCTGGAGCCTCAGTTTTCTCAGATTTTCTAGAGAGGTTCCCAAAGATCCTGTATAACTCTAAAATTCTATGATTTCATTAAAATGGACAATTCTTTAAATAGGCATTTTAAATCTATTAGGAGTTTATTGTGTTTTGTATAAAGGTATAATATTGGAAATTTAGTTCATAATCATGCATGTATTCACAGTCCTGCAAACAAATTCCTATTACTAGTGGGTCTCCATTCCAAAGCAGTTAAAATTACTATGCTATATTTTGTGATACAAGTGTCATCTTAGTATTACTTTAAATGATTTCATATTAACAAGTAAGCAATTTTTAAAAGTGGGTTGAATTTTTTTAGGTCCTTGCTACTAAGTTACTAAAGAAATCAACACTAGAAGACAAATGTACTTTCAGACACTAAAAGAGCAACTGTATCTCCTAGAGTCATTAAATTACTATTCAATTTACTATTAAATTAAAAAAATTACTATTAAGCTTTTTGGATATTACAAAACCAAAAAAAATCCCGTTTCTACTTCAGTAGCATGAAGGCATAGCACAAAGTTTAATTTTCCTTTTTAATTCGCTATTAAATATTTGAGGAAACCGAAAACAAACACTACACTCATGATTTTGAAAGCCAAATAAGCTCTGGTTGAGGAGATTTTAAAATGGCACCACTTCTGTATTGTATGGATTGTTTTCCTAATCAGTTTTGTACTATATCCTTTGTTTAAAATATAATGACTTGAACCAAAGATATTGTCATTTAAAAGTAATTTAACAAAATGACTGCAGATTTTAAACAGATTACATTGTTTTTCCATCAGGTGTTGTACAAGTATTAAAAAAGAAACAACACACACACAACTGCTTAAGGAGTTTCTGAATATGCAAACTTGGAGCCAAAAAAAACTTAATTAGTTCAAGTAGGTCCATTCTTCCCCCCCTTCAAATGAATAAGTCTTGTCTCTATTAATGTTTGTTTAATTTTGAAACAAGACTAGAACTTTCAACCCAGCTGTATATAAAAGAATTATTTTCAGCATTCTCATCACAAGAGCCCACTTCTTCAGGGTTAATGGAGCATGTTACACATTCAAGATGCTTCCTAGCCATTGCCTAACACATTCCCATTCAGAGAATGCTGACATCATAGGAAGGTTTAAAGATGCAGAAATGAAATCACAGTAAGGAACTGACTAATCCAAAATGAGCACTAGGACAGACCTAGGTTCACCCTGCAGCATTTTCCACCCCCAGCACCCAGGCATCAAGGTAGTTCCTAGCTCTCCACGGCTGTCTGAAGAACTTCTCTTGATATTTTGTCAGGAATGCAAGTCACTGGGCTCTTGAGTCTTCCTACTTACAAAGTGTATCTTTAACTGATAAGGAAATAATTATGGTCCTACCATACAACTTCTGGCGAGGGAAATGCCTTCACTTTCATGGAGAGCCGGTAAGACCGCTTGCCAGCTACAGTTTCAAGCACCTGCTGTTTTCGATGTTGCACAGTGATGAATGCCTTTTCTTTGAAAGGAGAAGTGATAAATACATTAGAAAAGAATATATCTCTGTAAACAAAATCTCACGGCCTCATTAAGGGAGGGTTACAATCAATGAATAAATAGAGCTGAATTATGATCCATCCTATTAATGAGCCCAAATATTGATCAATGAAGAAAATACTTTTAAAGCTCCCTAACTGGTGAAATACTTTCAAATCAAATGGTACCAAGTCCTAGGGACATGAAACAGTGACAAGGCAACAGAAAATGAAACACTTTAAATATGTACATTACAATAACAAAACAGTAGGAAGATATTTCTAAAACTACCTGGTGAATATGGGTAAGATAGGAAAAAGCTGCTTTGGGCACCCTAAAATAACTAATTTGATATCAAAAATCAACTGCTCTTCCCACTGTTTCCTTCTCAGAATGGAAAGAAATTATAGAATTTGCATAGTGGAATTAAACAACATTCGGATTCCATGACAGTAAAAGCAGGGATAAAACAGCATTAATTCTAAATAATTTATCATACCATATTTTTATTTCTCTAAGCCATGGTAGTACCTGGGAAGTTTTCCCCAGATAATAAAGGTAAACTTGATCATTTTCTTCTGTTTTGTTTCTATGGAACACTAAATAAAGAATTCATAAATATCTTATGATCTAACTGAATTATTAACTTAGAATTATAAACTTCTAAAGGAAAGACTGTCCAATTCAAAAGTATTAAATTTAGAGAGAACTTAATGTGATTTATTTTTTGGCAGAGGAGAGGAGGGGACATTGGCAAAGATTCAGTCATGATAATGTAACTCTTGGCCAAGAGAAAATTTGTTTGTATAACCCAAACATCCACAATGACTAGAAAGCCTGGCGTGTAAGTTGGCAATGCTGAACGATTGCTCACCATATATATGCACTGAAG